TTGGAAAAGGACCTATTTCTATCACAGTAGCTGGTAACCACGGTGATGATGGAACCTTTTTATAAAATACATTTTCTCCAACAAACAGATTCGGTAAGTTTCTAGCTGACCTATCATGATATTCTTTTACTTTCCTTTCTTTTTTCCTTAACAAATTTGCTATATTCGTTCCTATCAATTGTTTTTGGTATGAGTATTTTTTCACTAACAGGTAATTTCATTCTTAAATACGTGACATTAATAACTGAGCTGGAGAATAACCACATTCTAACGTTGTATTTCTGTATTGCAACATTCCCTGATATGGATCAGAGCCTGACTCTATACACTTATTAAAAATATTTTTTACAGTTTGAACTGTCCTCTCTACCAAACCATTACTTTTTGGATAATAAGGACTAGAACTTTGATAAGTAATGTCCCAATCTACTAAAAATGACTGAAACTCTTTTGATGAGAATGGGGGACCATTATCAGACATTAAGATCAATGGTATTCCATGTCTCGCAAATATAGACTTCATTGTACTAATTACCTCTTTTGTTGAAGTATTATTTAAAGGCGCTATTTCAAAGTATTTAGAATAAAAAATCTACTAATAATATATATGTGACTTTACTATAATAAAAAAGATCAACACCAATTTTCTGCCAAGGCAAAGTTGGTATTTCATGTGGTAATAGTTGTTCTGGACTATTTGATCTATGATATTTAAGACATGCTGGACACTGTTCAACTTTATTCTTTATATCTACTGACATGCCTGGCCAAAAAACTACTGTACGTGCTTGTCGAATACATTTTTCATATCCTCAATGACCTTCATGAATTATTTCTAATATAACTTGACGCAATGACTCGGGAATTATTATTTGATTTCCTCTAAAGACTAATCCATCTACAACATGTATTTCATGATTGAAATTGTAATACGGTTTAACCTCCGTTTCCAATTTATTTTTCGAACTTGGCCAACCTTCATTATAATATCTTATTATTGACTGTAAAACTCTATCAGTTTTGGTTGCTGCCTGTATTTCCATTAATTTCTTTGAAGACACAGCTAAATTGTTAACTAATAAACTTCCATGTATACGTAACTCTTCATCTCCACTATCAGTATTATCTGGACCTTCTACTGGTGCCCTACTTAATGTATCTGCGATGAAAAGAAATTTTCCTGGAGTATAGCTAACTTCTAAATCATAAAGCTGTAAGTTTAGCATCATCCTTTGCAAACGTGCTGGAACCTCAGATAATGGTTTTTTAAAAAGACTGACTAATGGTTTATGATCTGTTTCAACCTGAACTTTTCTACCATAAATGTATTGTTTAAATCTAGTACATCCGAACTGTATTGCATATAACTCTTTTTCTATTTGTGCATAATTTGACTGAGCCTGTGACAAAGATTTAGATGCATATGCTATAGGTTTTTTGTTTTGTAAAATCACTGCACCAACTGCAAATTGTGAACTATCAACTGATAATGTTAAAGGTAAATTGTTATCAAAATATGCTAGTACTGGCGTTTGACTAATCATTTCTTTAAGTGACTCAAATTCTCTTTCATGCTCTTCTGTCCAATGAAAACTAATATTTTTTTTCAATAACAACCTTAAATTTTTTGTACGCTCTGCTAAATTATCTATGTACTCACCTAAATAATTAATCATTCCCAAAAATCTTCTAATATCAGCTACACTGTTAGGAATAGACATTTGACAAATTGCACTTACTTTACTAGAATCTGGACATATGCCTTCTGCACTAAAAATATGACCCAAATATTTTATATCTGATAATAGAAATTTGCATTTGTCCATATTGAATTTTAAATTGAATTGTTTTTGCCCTTTCTAGTACTAGTTCTAGTATTTTATTGTGACCTTCCAAAGTTTCACTATAAATTAAAATATCATCATATATATATAAACAAACTCCTTCTATGTCTCCTACTATTTCATTCATTACTTTATGAAAAATCTCAGGAGCGCAGCTTATACCGTAAGGTAATCTTGTAAATCTAAACCTTCCAAAGGGTGTATTAAATGTGCATAGCTTAGAACTCTCTAAATCTAATGGTATCATCCAAAACCCTGACTGTGCATCTAGTGTTGAAAAATATTTTGCTTTTGCTAATTTTGACCTAATCTCATTAAATGTTGGTATAGGATAATGACATCTTTTTATAGCTTTGTTTAAATTACGGGGATCCAGACAAACTCTCAAACTTTTATTACTTTTTTCGACTAAGACTATTGAATTTACCCATTCACTTGCTTCATTGACTTTTTCTATTACTCCCGTAGACAACATTCTATTTAATTCTTCTTTTAATTTATCATGTAAAGAAAAAGGTATTCTTCTTGGCGGTTCTATTATAGGTTTAATATTTTTATCAATTTTTAAGTGACATACATTAGGTAGACAACCTAGACCAGCAAAAACTTGTTTATTTTTCTCTATTATAGACTCATGACTTACTAGACCAACTCTTTTAATTAATTTTAATTTATGACAAGTATCTAGACCCAAAATTGTTTGACACTCCAAATTCACAATAATGAACTCAATACTTTCTAACCTATCTCAATTTCACATAACAAATTTACTTTTCCTACTATAGGTATGACATCATTTGAAAAAGACTTTAAATTTATACATGTAGGTACCAGTTCTAACTTTTGTACATTAACCTCATTAAAAATTTTTATTGACATCACATTAGCTTGTGCACCTGTATCTAAATAACATACTACATTTATTTTATTGATTCTGACTACAATTGACCAATTCTGATTAATACTATTCTGACTAATAGTTTTAATAACAAAACATGAACCATTTTCATTATTAGATGATTGTACTGTACTTTCTCTTAAATTTATATTATTTATTCTTTTAGTTTGACAACATTTTGCATAATGACCTTGTTTTTTACAATAATGACAAATAGCTACTAATGCTGGACATTTATTTCTATGATTTTCACCACATCTTTGACAAACTTTTCTCACCACTTGATTATTTTCACTATTCTTACTCTGATTTGCATATCCATTATAATCTTGATTTAAAATTCTGACTTGTTACCTGACTTTGACTGTTTGTGTTCGTACCATCTATGTTGTACCTTTGACTATCATTTCTCCAACTTGGACCTGGGACTTCATTTCTATACCTTGAATGATTTGAAAAATTCGGACCTGGACCATCTTTATTCTTCTCTACTTTGTATACCACTGCTTCTGAATTTTTATTTAACTGTTGTGCTTGCATTTGAGTTGTAATTATATTTTGAGCAATTTGTAATACCTTTTCTGTCTTCAGATCCACTTCTTGCAATAGTTTTTGCTTAATTGAATGGTATTTAGGATTTAAACCAATAATGAACATGTCACACACCAAACTTTCTTTTAAAATTCCTAATTCACATGTTAAACTCAAATTCTTTAGACTAGTCATGAAATCTTCAATGGTTTCACCATCTTTCTGTACTCTAGTAAGAAAATAATGTCTTTCTACTGTTAAATTTTTCTTCGGGTTACAGTAATTTTTCAAATTTCCCTACAACTTCTCGAAATGTTACAGTATCCATGTTAAACTCAAATGACTTGTAAATATTTCTTGCATCTGTACCAATATAGTGCAATAATAAAGCTACTTTTCTCGCATCGTTTTCTTCCTCTAAACCTGTGGCTCTCAAAAATATTTTGAAATTTATGCTCCATTCTCCCCAGTTATGTGCCAAATTTCCTTGCATTGACAACGGTTGGATTTCATTTCCTATCACGTTACTTTTTATTTTTACAACGACAGGTTGATTTTGCTCTATATAATCTTGTTCCGACATGGTTGAACTTTACCTTTTGACCGTTTTTAATTAATTTCTTTTAAAACCAACCAGATCACCACGTGCTGTTAGACCATGTTTCGACTTTTGTATGACTATTATAATACTCGTTACTATAATCTGACCTGAATTTTTACTTCTGACACCATGTTACGTTGTCCCTGTGGGCTTTTAATAAGATTGACGACCAGTTTCTTTTTAATATCTTTTATTAAAGACCAACTAAACTTAATACATGATTATATCTAACGAGCCATCTTCTTCCCCTGTCCGCTGTCAATGTCCTTCACCTCTCACCCATGTTAAGGTAGGTTTACAAATATTAAGGTAGGTTCACATAACATAACAATATCTTTACCACCAAACGTATGTTTGTAGATATTCTGCAGTTCAAAGTTATATCTACGCTTCCATATTCCGTTCTCACAGACCGCTCCGAATATCTTGCGTAGCACCTTTCTTTCAAAAATAGATAGAGCGGATTCATCTGTTTTCGTTAGCGTCCATGCCTCTGATCCATATGTCAGAACGGGGACTATCAGTGTTCTATACAACCTTATACGAGTTTTTTGAGACAGACGTTTGTTAGCTAAGTGCAAAAAAAAAAGAACATGCCACAAAGTAAAAAACTAAATAATTAACTTTGCGAACTGATACAAATTTGACAATGAAAACATAAGTTATACTTCTGTTGGGAATTCAAAGCCAATTAGTGCAAAAAGCATTTATTTATTTCATGGCAAAAAAACAAAAAAATTTGAAATCGATTATGCTAGAAAACGACGTATCTTACTAACTCTTTAAAGAGTAGAATACCTCAAAATTTAATAATCTAGTATCACGAATGCTTAAAAGTTAAATATAAATAAGTTATGCGTTAAAATAACCGTTGACCTAACCAAAACGGACGCCTATAACTGGTACTAGAAATTTGCAATTAATGGAATTGACTCAACTCTGAATGATAAATAATCGTACCAGTTTTAGTTTTTCAAAATAGAAGCCTTTTGGAGGTATTTAAAAAAGGAGTTCTAGTTCCCTTAGGAAGCATTTTCGGACTAGATGAATTGGGTTAAATTGTCTTAAAGTTATTTGAGAAATCTCTGGTCTTCATTTGTCAGGAGAGATCGTGGACTGCATAATTAAAATTCGAAAACCTATTATTTATTTTCCACTAAATTAATTTACAATAGTTTATACATCTATCATTATTTGACATTGTATAATATTACAAAATAGCTTTCGGAGTATTGCCTATCTGACTCCACTTCAGAAATTAAAAGTTCTGAATTCCATCTGTCACAAACACTCAGTGTAAATTATGATTTATATAATACTACACCAACCTCCAAATCTCTTTTTTAGGTGCCGTCTCAAATTTAGGCTGGCGATGACTTAATTAGATCAAATTTCGGGCGATGAAAAACTGTCTCATTTTTATAAATGGGTTTCTGGCCAGTCTTATTCTACATTTGACTCTTTGTTCTGAACCTCAGGTTTTATTTATACAGCAGCGTACTTAAATTATTTTATCATTTTCTAATATGTTTCTGTTTAGAGTACTCACGTTTTAAATAATAAACTACATCAAATTATTTAAAAGAAATTTCTTCAGGGTGTAATCTCATTTAAAGTTTCATATTAAATACTTAGAAAGAAAACTGCTTAAAACAAATGTCACATTTGTTTTTCTTCACTGTCGACTTTCAGACGTTTTTTCAACTGATCTTCTCGACTTAAATGCTTAAAACAAATTTCACACTTGTAAGATTTTTCTCCAGTGTGCACTCTCAAATGTGTTTTTAAAATCATCTGCTCGACTAAATTGTTTAAAACAAATTTCACACTTGTCAAGATTTCTCTCCAGAGTGCACTCTCAAATGTTTTTTTAAATTACCTGCTAGATTAAATCGTTTAAAACAAATTTCACACTTGTAAGATTTTTCTTCAGTGTGCACTCTCAAATGTGTTGTCAAATTACCCGCTTGACTAAATTGCTTAAAACAAATTTCACACTTGTAAGATTTTTCTCCAGTGTGCACTCTCAAATGTGTTGTCAAATTACTTGCTTGACTAAATTGCTTAAAACAAATTTCACACTTGTAAGATTTTTCTCCAGTGTGCACTCTCATATGTTTTTTCAAATCATGTTTTCGAGAAAACTGCTTCAAACAAATTTCACACTTGTAAGGTTTTTCCCCAGTGTGCACTATCAAATGTTTTTTCAAATGACCTGAACTAGTAAACTGCTTCAAACAAATTTCACATTTGTAAAGATTTTTTCCACTGTGCCTCTTTAAATGGTTTTTCAAACTGGTAGGATCATAAAACTGCTTCAAACATATATCACACTTAAGTTTTTCCCCAGTGTGCACTCTCAAATGTGTTTTCAAATGATTTGGTTGACTAAATAGCTTAAAACAAATTTCACACTTGTAAGATTTTTCTCCAGTGTGCACTGTCAAATGTTGTTTTAAATTACCTGCTTGATTAAATTGCTTAAAACAAATTTCACACTTGTACGGTTTTTCTCCAGTATGTGTTCTCAAATGTGTTTTCAATTCATTTGCTCGACTAAATTGCTTAAAACAAATTTCACACATGTAAGATTTTTCTCCAGTGTGCACTATCAAATGGGTTTTCAAATTATTTGCTCGACTAAATTGCTTAAAACAAATTTCACACTTGTAAGATTTTTCTCCTGTGTGCACTTTCAAATGTGTTGTCAAATTACCTGATTGACTAAATTGCTTAAAACAAATTTCACACTTGTACGGTTTTTCTCCAGTATGTGTTCTCAAATGTATTTTCAAATCATCTGCTCGACTAAATTGCTTAAAACAAATTTCACACTCATAAGGTTTTTCGCCAGTCGCAACTTTCATATTTTTATTTAATGTTTTTCCTTTGGAGTGTTTACTTGTATAACTTTCTTCAATATATGAATCTTCAATTAGTGTCTCCATAATTTCCATTTTGTGTTCAATTTGGAGATAACCTAAAATACAAACCGATTTTAATATAAATACATATTTGACTGTAAGTGAAAACAAATGCAATGATCAAATTAGGGCATAATACAATTTAAGACAGCAGAAGTAGTTACATTATATAAATATGTTTTAGAAACTTGTGTTTCTGTCTTCTCTATATGTAATAGTAAGTCCTATTGTCTTTTAATGCGTACCTCAATACTTTCAATATTGTGTGTAAAGTTGCATATACTTATGCATACAGACGTATCACAATGACCATACAACTTCTATGAGTCACTTTTTTCAACCAGAACTAGGAGAGTGACCTACTTCCGAATTTGTGGACTGTATTAGAATTCTCCTTAATATGACATAATGTACTCGTTAAACAATGATCAAAAAATATAAACATATTTCAACAAAGGATCATAAAAGATAATATCCTCCCTACCATTTCCAACTATCGAATGTGAAAAGTGGTACTTTTCAGGAGAGGAAGTGGCAAAGGCAACGTCTTCTGTCTCCTCTACATGAGAAGGAGAATTACACTGTGTGGACGACGTCCGAAATACAGCATTCCTTGAATGTTAAAATTTGGTTATGATAGCTGCCTAAACTAATCATTGCCCGGTAATGCTTGCTTTGATAAACTTATGACAATGCTACTTTATTCAAAATGTTCACTTTGTTATATGTCTCTCAGTTAATGAATATTTTATTTTAGCACATTTTTCTTCAATGGAACATTAAATTTTGCTCACAATGATTAAATTTCAAGAAATTCTTACACTAATAGTTTTAAAAGTAAATAATTTAAAAAATATATATAATATACCTCAGTACGACCCTGTTTGGCTTTCACGTGCGTTTGTTGATAGATGGGAATTTGTAAAGTGAATTTAGTTTAGAAGATTTTTACAACTCATACCAGACATTCTCCCATTATAGCAAAACGCGTCAGGGATAGTTATTGCAATTTTTTTAAATAACGAGACAGGTTTCACGGTAACATAAATTTGTTTAACCTGCTTAAAATGTAAACTTGAATTAATATACTTTATACACTTACACTGATTGTTGAGTTATCCCTGTCCACATCGATATTATTGTCAGTTTCTTCTTTGTTGTCATCGTCTTCCTGAATAGTACTATGTGAAACACTAGTTTCACAGCACCGCTTTTTTCAGACTCTCTTATAAGATTCAATTTTTTTATAAAGTTAGGGCACAACGAATTGCATTTTTTAAATAACTGCAACTTATCAGTATCTGGATAGTATTCCCTATATTTTCGGAGCAATTAATCATACTGCTAATTTTTTTTTGTTTCTGTAATCTTTGCTCCATTGTACTACTACACTGTAATTTGACATTCCACATAGCAGGTAACGACCGATACACATCGATGCATCCTATAATAAACTTTCTTTCTTCCTCTTTTCCCTTTGCAGCCATCTTTTTGACTGCACCACGAGGTTCACAATGAGTGATAAACACAACTGAACCAATATTGCCCACTGACACCTCAATATTTACTATACTGCACAATAAAAATCAAAATCATGTTAATTGATACTATATATTCCAATCAGTGAGTACTACAATGTGAATAATATGTGAAATGTACTGATGGTCTAGGGGCCACTTAAAGCAAAATTTTTATGGAACAAACAATTAACTGTTTTGAACACACTTTGCATACCAAAATGGTTTTTATCTATTACACACTCAGGTATATTTTAATCCATCATTTGCACACCACTACTTGCAGCATACTTCTTATTGAAATATTTTCTTTACAAAGACAATTTATATTTAACAACTTATCCTCAGTCTTATAGACAAGCATCTTAAAATTACAATTTGTATAACACTATTTATAACAAAGGTTTTGACGTGGAAAGTTTTTATGTAGTTTGCTTCTTGATGTGAACTTTTAATTCAGAACTTCTTGAAAATTGTCTGGTAAACGTGACATTATCTATCTATCGTCCGTCGGCAAATTCAAACAAAAATATAACTCCCAGACCATATTTTACTACCATTAGTCCAGACAAATTAATATATGTATTCAATATATTTATTACCACTTTGCCCTTAAAATTAGAAAAAAGTTTCAATTATATTGCTTAATATGTCGTCTAACAATTTTAACTGTACTAATGCCCAAGTATCAATTTTCAAGTTTTAAACTGACTGATTTATGATGAGTATTCCGATTGTAAAGATACCGGCATGTGCCTTGTCTAAGGGACTAGACTTGCAAATTTTTAGTTTAGTTGTATCTTTGCAACTAGCTTGTTTATAGATAGATGTGCATTGTGCATTGCTTTAATTTTGAGTTGCGTTGAAATTTTGTTGTGAGTAGTTATAATAATTGTAGTATTTTTTTGTTGTTTGTTTTTTTTAAACTGTCTAGTTGCGTATAAAGAAAATGTTTAGACTGGGAAAAATCACCTACAGTTTTTCGTGCATTTGAGCAAGAGAACCCAAGTAGTAGTCAACAATCTTTTAAGTGTAAGTGATACAAAAACAATAACACTGAGACTAACTGTACAAAGTGTTTAAGACTTCCAAAGAAAAGAATTGTTTTGAATGAACAATCTAAGAGAATTTGTATGAACGTTTACAAAAATCTTCAAAATGATCCTGAAAATAGTTGTAAAGGCAGTATGAAAAGCGGCCTTTCTAACAGGAATTCCGTATTCTACCACGCGCGACATCGTGAAGTGGTGTTAAAAAGAGAAAAACAAGATCGGATACTGGAAAACCTAAACAAATTAATATCGTGACTGCTAGATGTTTAAGTAATTTGGTTTATGAGGAATACCAAAAAACGGGTGTGGCAGTCCAGTGAGACTGTCGGTAGAAGTTATACTTCTATACACGCGTTCGCGGTTACAAATTTATATGGGACTCAATCTGCACAATCATTATATATATAATGCTATAGGTAAGAGAGTGCAGAAAGAGAAAAAGAATTAGTTATATAGGTATATAGTGCATCGTTTGCTATATATAAACATCTGACCTGTAATAGGAGTATAGTAAATGGAGGATTGTATCAATATTTTAATGAATTTATATATATTTATTTTCATATATATGTAAAATGAGTTGAATGAAAAAAAAATTTACACAAAAATTAATATAAAAATAACAATACAATAAATACACTGCAACATAATTGAATAGAATAATACAATATAAATTAAAATGTAATATTCATAAGTATTTAAAACTGCCAATACACATAACTTACTTTACGAAGATTAAGAGAAAAAACCAACAACTCTGATTATGTTGTAAATTTTCATTTTATTTTAAAATTTAGCATTTTTACGTATATTACATATATTGAATAAGATCAACGTGAGGTTTTTAAATATTTCAAAAATAAAAAAGGAAATTCATAATTGGGATTCGAACTCACAACCACCAGCGTATAAACCAAACACGTAAAGGATTTGCCATAAAGACATTACACTAACGGATTTCAAAATTGACAGTTCTCGGTCAAACAGTGATTATTTTGAAATACAATAGCCTAAAATAATTATAAACGTTCAATAAATAATACAAAACATATCACATAAATAATAATATTAATATATATTATATATATATATATATATATATATATATATATATATATATATATATATATAATTCTTTGGAGGGTAACTTTCGGGAAAGCGTCAAAACAAGGATCAGCTAGAGATGGTATAAGCCAGCTTGGTGTAGAACTTTATTCTATATGTGAAATTTTCGGTGATATGTTGTCACCTTCATCAGCACCTAAATGGAAAACCTATTATAGTACAGTGGTGGAAATCAACATTTAAAAACCTACATTGAAAATGTTCAGTTGGTCCTAGTTGTAAAAAACACTGTCACAAACATGTTAAAAATATTAAAAATACATTTAAAATTTTGAATAAAAACATTACAAACAACAGGGTAGTTTTTCAAATACAAACACAACAAAAATCTAAACTTTACAACCTACAAAAACCACAAATAGAAAAGAAGAATTAATCTTCTTTTTTGATGACATATTTCTGTCAACATCCGGGTGACATATGTAACGAGGTTATAATTTTCACTTTTGCACATCACAACCACATGGATAGGAAAAGAAAGAGCCCTAGGCAACATAATAAGCAAGGAAATAAAGTCCCCTCTAAAGCACAGGTAGGTAATCTATGCATGTCATGATAAGTTCCCCACATTTTCCAGTTTGTTACTTCTTGTCAAGTCCTGTTGAAGTAGAAAGGAATAAATACAACTTAAGTTTTCAACATCTTTCTTACAGTTCATAGGAGAGCTGCAGTTATGGATGTAGCACATTTCTATGAAGTTTCTCTTAAATTGGTTGTCAACCCTCTTTAGTACTTGCACATTTTCATAGTTAGCAGTGTGTCCAGTATTCTTAATATGTTGGCTAAAGGCTGTGCTGGTGGGCTTCCTCACAACATCACTCCTGTGCAAAGCTATTCTTTTTGAGAGTTTCTGGCTGGTTTGACCGACATACACTTCTGAACAAGAACCACATGGAACTTATCATGACATGCATAGATTACCTACCTGTGCTTTAGAGGGGACTTTATTTCCTTGCTTATTATGTTGCCTAGGGCTCTTTCTTTTCCTATCCATGTGGTTGTGATGTGCAAAAGTGAAAATTATAACCTCGTTACATATGTCACCCGGATGTTGACAGAAATATGTCATCAAAAAAGAAGATTAATTCTTCTTTTCTATTTGTGGTTTTTGTAGGTTGTAAAGTTTAGATTTTTTGTTGTGTTTGTATTTGAAAAACTACCCTGTTGTTTGTAATGTTTTTATTCAAAATTTTAAATGTATTTTTTAATATTTTTAACATGTTTGTGACAGTGTTTTTTACAACTAGGACCAACTGAACATTTTCAATGTAGGTTTTTAAATGTTGATTTCCACCACTGTACTATAATAGGTTTTCCATTTAGGTGCTGATGAAGGTGACAACATATCACCGAAAATTTCAC